CACAGAGCCCAACACGGGGGTGGGTGGGGGTTGGGCCTTGATCCCAGGACTCTGGGATCATGACCTGAACCAAAGGCAGACGCTTAACCGACCGAGCCACCCAGGCGCCCCAATTGATGGGTTCATTAAAAGGCATCTTTTTCATATACCTGAATATATTGACTGTCTCCATCTCTCAATGATTCCAGCTTTTGTTAGGAGCCTACTATAAAAGTTTTTTATAAATAATTTTTATTTGTAAAATTGATTCATAAATACAGTTTTGTATTAGTCTCCTAGGAGAGCTGTAACAAAGTACCCAAAACTGGGTGGCTTAAGTAACAGAAATGAATTGTCTCACCGTTCTGGAGGCTACAGGTCCAAAGTCAAGGTGTTGGCAGGGTTGTGTTCCCTCCGAATGCACAAGGGAAGGATCTCTCCCAGGCCTCTCTCCTAGCTGCGGGTAGCCTCAGGAGTTTCCTGGCTTGTAGATGGCCATCTTTTCTCTGTGTATGGTCTTTTCTCTGTGTTTAAACTTCCCTGTTTTATAAAGACACCAGTCATTGGATTAGGGCCCATGCTAATGACCTCATTTTAACTTGATTATCTCTATGTAAAGACCTTATTTCCAAATAAGGTCACATTCTGAAGTACCAGGGGTTAGGACTCCAACGTATCTTTTTTGGAGCATAGGAGTCAACCCATAACAATTCTGTTACTTTTTGTAACTTTCTTCCTTCTAAATTTATTTTACTACTTGCTAGAGTCCATTCACTTCTAATTCTTTCAGAGAGCATTCTGCATAGTCATGTTCTGAGTCTTGCTACTCTCAAAATACTTTCATTTCATCCTCACAATTGGAATCTCCGATTCTGGGTTCCTAGTTATTTTTCTTGCAAAGTTAGAAGGTATTGGTACTCTGTCTCCCTGGCTTCTGGGTCGCTGATAGGAAGCATACCATTCCCCTGATTCCCTCCCTCCTACCTATGCAGGCTCATCACTGGGTGTAATTCCCCCCCAAGGTCATCTACTAGCAGTGTGACCTTGTGCCAGTAACTCAGCTTCTCTGTGTATATCAGTTTGCTCATCTCAAAATTGGGGATGGGGTGCCTGGCTGGCTCAGTCAGTAGAGCGAGCGACTTTTGATCTCCGGACTGTGAGTTTGAGCCCCACGTTGGATGTAGCGATTACTTCAAAATAAATAAGATTGGGGGGACGCCTGGGTGGATCAGTTGGTTAAGCGTCTACCTTCAGCTCAGGTCATGATCCCAGGGTCCTGGGATCTAGCCCCGCACCGGGCTCCCTGCTCGGTGGGAAGCCTGCTTCTCCCTCTCCCAGTCCCCCTGCTTGTGTTCCCTCTCTCACTGTCTCTCTCTCTTGCTGTCAAATAAATAAATAAATAAATAATCTTTAAAAAAATAAAAACAAATAAATAAATAAGATGGGGATAACAATAGTGGATGGATTCCGAGGATGAGTTACGAGGAACGTGCCTAAAACTGTACTTGGTACACAGTAGGTGCTTTATTTGAGTTTGTCATATATATAAAATAGCCCTAACCAAGTCCTGGACAGCAGGGGCTGGAGCTGTTGTGGCTATAGCAAGCAACTACACTGCTGGGAGCCTCAGTTTCCCCATCTGTACTGCTGAGGACTCAGTAAGACCACAGCGAACTGTATTGAGATGGACGGTTCACCCATTCCTCGAATACCTACATATTGAGCACGTACTATGGGCCAGGCAGCGGAGACACAGCGGTGAACAAGTCGGCCCAGGTCCCTGCCCTGTGGAGCTGATGGTCTCACGGAGGAGACACACCATGAGAAAGAAGCACACAAATCATAGTTTCAGGCGGCCACCTGGCTACGAAGAAGATAAAGCACGGTGCTGTGAAGCAGGTGATGCGGGAGGGGGGCTCACACTGTCACAGGATGAGAGCTCTGTAAATAATAAAAATATTGCCACCAACTGGAGTCCCATCAAAATAGGTTGAGCACTTAACTATGAGCTAAGGCCTCACAATAATCTTCCCCTTAGGTATCAATAGGTCATTTGACATATGAGGGGACTGAGGCCCCAGCGACACAGAGAAGGACCATGGAAATGTATCCCTGAAATCCAAGGGCAAGAGAGTGTATTCTAGAAGGAGGCCAACCTGGGCGGGACTTAGTTTCTCCCTTTGGGGAATGGAATTGCCAAACAAACCTGCAACTCGAGCCTTTTCCGCCAGGGGGCGATGGCGCCCCGCAAGAGGATTTGGGGTGTAGGGAGGCGGGGAGCTGCTCCTCCAGAATCCCCCCGCCCCGCCCCGGGACAAGACCCCGCGCAGGCGGCCCCTTCGCTACTTCCGACTCGACAAAGGCCCCGCCGCGTGCGGTTAATGTGACGCTGAGCCTGTTAGTATTAGTTCGCGTGCGGCAAAGTTGCCCTCGGTTCTACATCATTTCCAAGTTTGATTTCTACTCGATTCGCCAACAGAACTTTCGGATCCTGGATTCGAAGCTTCCCGGCTCCCATGGTTGAGAGCTTGAGTACTCCACCTGTCCTCACTCTGATTCCGCGTCTCCTTCCAAACGCTCCAAGTTCAAATCCCACCTGCAATTCCAGTTCCCCGGGTGACTTCTCGAATCTGGCCCCTGCTCCAGTCCCAAACCTTCCCCTAATCCTAACTTTTTGAGTTTCCTCTGCGCGTCGGAGGCATTGGAGTGGGGATGGAGAATATTGGGACCCCCGCCCCTAATTCCGCCGGAGGAACTCTGGGCGGGGGGCACAGGGCCGCCATCCGAAGGCTCTGGAAGCGGGGGTGCGGCCGAGGGGCGCAGTGACCAGGCCGGCTTCCCCACCCGCCTCTAAACTTAGCCGCAGTGACGCGCGGCCCGGCGATCGCGCGGCGGGGCTGGGGACGCAGGGGGGCCAGAGCGGAGGGGGGCGGCTCTGCTCCGCGAGCCTCTATTTATAGCGCCCGGAGCCCGAAATAGCGCCGAGCGGAGCGGCCTGCATGACGCGGGAGCCGCCGGGGACTGACTCACCCGGCCCCGAGCGGCGGCCCCCGGATGGGGGGCAGTGGAGGCGCCCGGCCGCGACCCCGCGCTGTCCCGGGCACCCCTTCTGCCGGGCCGTCCCAAGTTTGCACCGGTCGCTGGGGTTGGATATGCAGCAAAAGGGAGAATCTGCAGCACGAGCGACTGAGGTTAGATCAGAGGTGGGACTTCCCCCGAAGGGCCCAGAACCAAGGAACTAACTTTATTTTTTTAAGTAAGCTCTATGCCCAATGCGGGGCTTGAGCTCACGACCCTGAGATCCAGAGTCGCATGCTCTACGGACTGAGCCAGCCAGGCGCCCCTCCAGGAACTAACTTTTTACAAAAAGAGAGGTTGGGAAGGAAGGGATATTTAAAACAAAACAACAAAACAACAACAACAACAAAAAACACCCCAAATATGCACACCTATTTCCCACCAACAACAGGACCAAAGCATCTTGGGGGCAGAGAAACGCAATAACCTGGCGTTCGCCAGTTCGCCAGACCAGAGCTGTCCCCCTCTCTACGGCTCCTTGCATGCTCCTCCCACTGCCTAGAATGCCCTTGCCTGTTTCCCCATTTTTAAGAACTCATGTCCCTGTGTCCCTTCGGGTACCTGGTGCTAAGGTCAGTCCCTCACAAATGAAAACTCTGTGACCCACAAGGACAGGGCCACGCCTCTCTCAGTCATCACCGCGTCCCTAGCACTGCCCAGCACAAGACAGGCCTCAGGGGAAATTAACTACATGCATAAAAATTGTTGGTAATAAAATGATGTTTCCCA